TATATCGGAATTTAAATTCATTTTTTCACCCTTGGAAGTGTGGTCTGATGTGCCAGAGGAAAAGAAATTCCCTAGGGAAATAAATTATAACTAATGAAGCCTTAAAGTTGTCTCTTTTCATTAAATTAATCGTTCTGATTTAACATTAAGCTCTCCGGATTTCATCCTCCTTGGGATTATCCATACGGATTAACAAACTTTTAATTATACATATATATATATATATATATATATATATATATATACCGGGTACAACACCGAAATTGTCCAAATCGTGTAACAGCTAAACTCTGCAATATTGAGATTAAGCTTTGATCCTTTGTATCTTAGAAATGATTAAGATATCTTTCTGGAATTCTCCGAAGTTTTTATAAAAATATTGGACTCTACTTTGAACAATAAAAATGTATTTAGCTCTAAGTTGAAATGATGATCCCTCTTGCTTTTCTGACATCCTGATCCAGATTCATTCTCTAGTGTTCCCTCTTTTTTAAACCCATTCATGATTCTCTTGATGATTCTTGAATGGACTTTGAAGACGGAATGCAGAGTATGAATGTTGGTACCATAACTGAAAGCCTGAATTATCCCTCGCCATTGCTTAGTTGGGAAGTTATAGTGGGACTCTCACGCAAGGATTTTAATCCGTTCTATTTCTAGCTGAATAAATCATAGGGTTTTCCAGTGATTCTTACGACAAATGGCGTCAAAATGGCAAAACGTCTCATCTGAAAACCTAGAAAAAAGAAACCTAATTAGCTTCGTGTTTTCTTTTTTTTTTTGCTTTTTTTTTTTAGATATTAAACATTTTGCGGGATGGACAATTATCCCATGGAGTAACACGATTTGGACAATTTTGCTGTTAAACCTGAGGACAAATCCAGTGAATGTCAATAGCATATACCAAGAATTACAGAATAGTCGTCTTACTGAATCTATTCTTTACGGTAAAGGAGTGGTATGATGGCCGAAATTGTCTGACAAACGTGACTGGGTTCTCCTGTTTGTGTGTCATGGTGGAGGGTCATGTTGTCCTTGTAGAAACCACCCTCTTGACCCGTGGAAGTTCTACCTCGTCCAGGCACTTGATGTAGGAATCCGTGTTGATTCTGAGGCCCTCACCAACGAATTCGGGACTTCTATTCTTATCAGAACGAGCAGGGTGAGATTTCCAAGCTGACGTACCTTCGTAATCACCACTGGACTCGTCCATTTATTTCTCAATCCTCTGCACTCATCGCAGATTGACAACCAAACACACCGAATTCTTCGTAATGGATCTTCCAGCGGAAATGCCAAGCATTACAGCATGCCGCTTATGCCATGTTGCTATTTTTCTTACAGATGGGGACCAACTAACCCTCCTATGTATTGCAGTCGATAAAATCAAAACAAGCAACGCGCATGCGGGAAATTAAAAATATAATATGGCGAAAATTTACAAATTTACCCAACCTCTGTATATATATGCATATATATATTAATATTATTATTATCATTATTATTATTATTTATTATTATTATTATTATTTGCATATATTCAGAAGAATTACTTAACTGTAGATTTCCCCTTGTATTTTAAATATATAAAATAATAACTTAATTATCACTTTTCTTTTGTATATATATATATATATATATATATATATATATATATGTATGTGTGTGTGTGTGTGTGTATAATATTATCAATGTTGTATTGAGGACTATATGAAATATGTGTTCACTTTTAAATGTAATATATATATATATATATATATATATATATATATATATATATATATATATATATGAAGAGAGAATTGGACCATGGAATATGTAGAAAATAATAGAAAAGAGAAATGTGTGAAAATTGATAGGATAGATAATGCATGAAAACAAATAAGAATTGCAATATTTTAAATTATTCCATGGAGTTTGGGAAGAACATGAAAAGAAAATACTGTCTACACTAGTATTTATTTGGGCTGCCTTTATTTCTTTCGACCATGTTCTGGTAGAATTTGGATTAAACTATAATATTAAGATTAAGAAAGGATTAGAGAAAGAAATGGATTGGGATAACGGATTAGCTTAATTTATTGGAACATATAAGAGAGTAATTCAGAAGCTACAGAGAAATTGTGTGGGAAGAGCAACGGTATGAGATAAGAGATAACCTTATTTCCTTGAAAAGAATAAGGGAAATTTTGAGAAGATACTTGTAAATTTGTAGATATGTAGAGACCTGTTGCTTTGTGTGGCTTCTCGAATTTATATTTAACGCAAAATACCACAAAATATGACATAATAAGAAGGAACAAAAACTGTTTTTATAACCAGAAAAATCTTCATTTTTTATTTATGTATGTAATGACATACAAACATAATTAATAAATGATACTCCCTTTTGTAGAATCTTCCACATTAGCCTTCCACCCCTTTCGGGAAAGATGTATTTTTCCCTAAAAAAAAGCTTTAACCAATCACCACTTCGTTTCAGTAAATTCAATCTTCTATTGGTTAAGAAACACTAAACTGTAGCAAAGTCGAATCAGATCCTTTTTCACGCCGAAGCTCCCTGGAGCCGATTTTTACACACCAAAGTCTATATAAACAGCCGCATGACTCAATTCAAGTCAGTCAATCATCAAGTTTCGTGAAATGCTACCAAACTCCACGCATGTCAATTCACTGACTCAACATCACTTCAAAATTCTCAACAAACTCAACACAGCACTCAATCGACAATTGTCCGCGTGGTAATGAAATTACAATTGACTTAAAAAGTGAACGTTTTCACTCCACAAACAGTAATTGTACAATTCATCAATTTAACCAAACAGTTAAAGGCAAACAACTCTTCACAACTTAAATTCTAACTAACAAGTAACACATGCATACACACTAATATTTGAACGAACACATTTGAGATTTTTCCTTGCAGAAAGCAAATTATTTTAATTTCACTAACAAATCAAAACCATTAACTTTTATTGACCAAATTTCTGCATGAACATTCTTCATAACCTTGTCTCAATTGCAACAATCAACAAACATTCTGTTATCCTTGTATGTATATCTATTGCATATATAAAAATCTCTTTATTGTTGGATCTCTAACCACTGTGGGTTTTTAGTAATTTCTTGCAATACAAATTGTCCTTATATTCTTTATTTGATCTACGTGTTGTGGGATAATGTATAATAAGCAAGCATAACCTTTGCCTTTACATAAATTAGCTTCTGATACATTTTCACTCAACTACAACCCACAATACCTTTAACTGGAATTAAAGTCTTTACTAAAGAAATATTTTTATCAATGCGAATGAAAAGTTGAATGAACTTTCCACTCAAAATGTTCGCAATGAGAAGGTTGAAAGAATCCTGTACAGCTGAGAATATGTGGAGTAAACTTTTAGCTTCAGAAGAGTAGAAGTGAATGTTTCGTAATGTTTAATTAGATTGCGTTACTTGTAGTTGAATATTCGCAATATGTTGGTGCTTGTAATGCTCTGTAATGTTTGTAATGCTTATAATTAAGTTTCCGTACGTACGTGTATGTGTGCGTGTGTGAATATGTTTTTAAAGCGTCCACCCGTAAAGGGTTGAAACGCGATTTCTTAAACATCTACATTTTTGTAAATGAGACAAATCGAAAACAAGGAAGAACGAATTTGAATCAATGCAATCACGTGAAAGCATTTCTGATTTTTTGCTGAAAAATGGTTTTGAATAACGCGTAGGCGTTGTACGGACGTAGGCGAGAACATGATTTTAATATTAACTAACCAATGAGCGGTGAGTAAAATATCAATTCTCTGTGATCCACTTTTTGCACAGATTTGCACAAAATTTGACATTTATAGAAAATAGTAGCAGGATGTTAAAGATACAATCAGTGGTATAAAATAATGGATAATTGTTGTGGTAGGATCCACCTAATTTGCATAGTGGAGTACCGACCATATAAATATGGTTGGTACCGGGAAGACGAGGGGAGGAATCAAGAGATTCAATCCAGAGACTCTGCCCGACTGCTACTCAGTCAACACATTCTTCACGAACGGTCTTCCCAAGAATATACAAAAGACTATATGTAAATATTGTGTACACTTTCTTGTTTCAATACATTTTGTTCTAAGTACATTTTGTGTTGTATTATTATTCCATGCATTAGTCAAATTTCAACAATAATCTTTATTGGAAACGATAGGAGCAGATTCGGATGATACAAGTAAATTGCGAATGAAGATCAGTGGTATGAAATAAGCTTATTTTATTGAAAAGGATAAGGGGAAATTGAAAAGATACTGGTAACTGGTAAGTGAATTGCAAGGCCATGTGATATAAATGGCACACATGTATTCTCCACAGATCTAGTTACTTCTTATTATAAGTGTATCCTTCTTTCTTTTATATATTATAGTCATATTTGTTATTATAATTGTCTTATTATCTTACTGTTTATAACTGCAACGTTTTTCTCACTACGCATTATCTTTTTAAATCGTTTTCGGTCTTCTTTTGTTTCTGTGAGTCTTTAATCACAACAAGAAAAAAAACAACAAAGAAGGATTTATTCAGTGATATATATTCCCGCCCTGATTTAGACTATTTTTCTTCTACGTGTATTTCATTCGTCTTTCTTTTCTTTCTTCATTTTCTTTTTTTTTTTTTTTTTTGCTTTGCTTTTTCTATTCCTTTTCATTCAATTTTCAGGGCCCATTCTCTGGCTTTATCAAGGTCTATAAAAAGCATTTGGTTATTGACGATACGAAGAAACTAGGCAGGACAATGGGAAGGATCCAATTTGATATATTCCGTCTTTGGTATTTGCTCCAAGCAGAAACCTGATATTAGATCCTATCACCAGAATCCGATGACAGAAAAAGCGAACAGCGATGTCGGTCGGGGTGGGGAGAAAAAGGAAATTAGGGGATATTTTCAATAAACGCAGAGAAGAGGGTTAAAGTCTCGGGAGGATCGTTAAAGATTAATGGTGACAAGAAGAAGATTTACGAGAAAAAGAATGAAGGTGGACAAAAAAGAAGGAAAGAAAGAAAGAAATAAAATAACAGAGTCTTATAAAAAGAAAAGGTGAAGAAAGTAAAAGAGAAACTCTGAAGAAGAAAATAACAGAAAGAGAAAATAAATGATGAAAGAAAATGATTATAAGCGAAAGAAATAGGATATAGAACATGAAAGAAACTGTAAAGAAGAAAGTTAAAGAAAGAGCATTTTAAAAAGAAATGGTCAATAAAGAAACAAAGAAAATATGAAGTGAATCAATGAAAAAAATAACGGAGAAAGTAAAGGAAAGAGCCTTTTAATAATGATGAATAAAGAAAGAAAGAAAAGGTAAGAAAGAAATAATGAATCAATCAATGTAACACTAAAGTAGAAAGTAAAAGAAAGAGTCTTGTTAAAAAGAAATGATGAAGAAAGAAAAAAAAAGAAAGAAAGAAGCTAAAGAAGAAATTAAAAGAAGACCCTTTTAAAAGGAAATGGTGTACAAAGAATGAAAGAAACAAAGAAAGAGAGAAAGAAACTAAGTAAAAGTAAGAAAGAAAGAATCAATCAATGTAAACACAAGAGAAGAAAGTAAAAGAAAGTTCCTTATTGAAAAGAAATGATGAATAAATAAATACAAAAACTGAAAGAAAGAAAGAAAGAAAGAAACTAATGAATAAAGTAAAAGAAATTTCTTTTAAAAAGAAATGATACACCAGGAAAAAAGAAAGAAAAGGTAAGAAAGAAAGAATGAATCCATCAATGTAACACTGAAGATGAATGTAAAAAAAAGAGCTCTATTAAAAAGAAATGATGAATAAAGAAAAAAAATAGAAAGAAAGAAACTAAAAGCAAAAGAAAGAGCCTTTTAAAAAGAAATGATTTACAAAGTAAGAAAGAAAGAAAGAATGAATGAATGAATGAATGAATGAAGAGGTAACAAAGAACAATGAATCAATCCATGTAACACAAAAGAAGAAAGTTAAATAAAGAGCCTTATTAAAAAGAAATGACGAATAAAGACAAAAGCAGTAAGAAAGAAAGAAAAATGAAAGAAAGAAACTAATGAAGAAAGTACAAAAAAGAGCCTTTTAAAAAGAAATATATACCAGGAAAAAAAGAAAGAAAAGGTAAGAAAGAAAGAATGAATCAATCAATGTAACACTAAAGATGAAAGTAAAAAAAGAGCCTTATTAAAAAGAAAAGATGAATAAAGACAAAAACAGAAAGAAATTAATGAAGAAAGCAAAAGAAAGAACCTTTCAAAAAGAAATGATTGACAAAGAAAGAAAGAAATAAACAAAGAAACAAAAGAAACTGACTGTAAGCGAACTGAACAGAATATGAAAATACGACAAAGGAAACAAAGAAAGAAACAACGAAATAAAATAACTAGACACGACAAAAGAAATGGTGAAAAAAAAAGAAAAGAAAAGTAACAAAAAAATCGAACGAACGAAGAGAAAAATTAAGGAAAGACGGAAGAAGAAAAAAAAACACAAAAATTGCAATATGAGCTCTGGTAAGAAATGTTTGCTGAAGACATTAGATTTATAATACCCAGAAATTTATAGACTGATGTCCTCAAGATGTCCTCAAGGACACATAGCACAGTAGATGAAGACGTTATTTAGATCCAGTGACAGAACATAAACAGTGTGAGTTCAATACCCGGCGAAGCCAGTGGAGAACTTTCACGAGGAAATTAACAGGAGATAACTGATAACTGACATCCATTAAACATGGAACGTAGAACTAGAACAGTCTACCCCAGTGAGTGAAATAAAGGGTTCAGTTCGACATTCCAGCCACCTGAAGAAGGCCGGAGCGTACACCGGTGGAAGCGTTGTAATAAGTATGGCGACAAATATGAGGACAATAGTCCGAATAATGTAAATAATATACAAAAGAAAGAAAGTGAAACGTAAAATCACATGGGGAAGAAAAAGAAAATAAGAAAAAATCTTAATAACAAATTCTTTGGGCAATATTAGCAGTTTCCCTACAAGGAAACCTTTTTACATTTATTGATCGAGCAATCATGTATCGAAAGATACATGATCTCCAAAGCGTGTATAACGCATGGCACATAACTGACTGACAGACGTGCTAATACCCATTGGGAAAGGTAGGCATTCTCTTCTTCTCCGCAATCCCAGCTATGGTTAAATAGCAGAACAGACCGGGTTCTATAGCTTTGGAGGAGAACTGGTCAACCGCAGAAAGAAATGACAATCTACTGCAGGAAAAAAAAATCTGCCTCGTCAGTCATGTATTGAAAGATACATCATCTCCAAAGAGTGTATCACGCTTGGCACGTAACTGACTTTCATTCAAATTCCAGATCATAATTTCTGTTTTGGAAAGGTTTATCTTGAATCATATTTCTTGGAACACTTGGTAGACGATGTTGCTTTTCTGTTCAAGATCATTTTCATCCCAACTATGAATGCCTATAACATTAGTGTACCTCCACATCATCACTACATTGGCCTCGGGAGGGAAAGCAGAGCCGCTGTTTTTTATTGGTAGATACGTTTAGGATGTGCCATGGAATGCTTAAATATTCAGTGTTCGTCACTTCACGTTTTGTACATGCTCAGGTCATAGACAAGAAAAAGATTAAAATGGAGCCCTCATTTCCTCCTTGTTCTAACTGTGATGAGGTCTGAAATGTTTCTGTATTGGTGTCCTCGCCAGGCATGTAAGAATTTGTAGACTGATACAGTTCCTGTGTTAGATCGATGCATTCAGTGGATTCGAAGCTTGTAGAGGCGTTTTCTAATGGATGGAATGAGGAAGTCTCTATCGATGTGGTCATATGCTGCTGTCAGACCGGTATTGCAGGAATACAATTTCCTATTAGAAGGGTAAGCAATTTCTTGAAGTTAACGAAGGGAAAGTGGGTTAAGAACGAAATAAAGAATGAACGAAAGAAAAAAAAATAATTGAAGTTTTATAGAAGTGAGGAAAAAATAGATATAAGTACGAAAAATGAAAATTTAAGTACAAGTTAAATTACAGGAATAAAATAAACGAAAGAAGAGAAGAAAAAAAATAAAAACAACAACTGAGGAGAAAGACAAAGAAAGAAAGAAATAAAAAAGGCATCCATTTCTCCTCAAAATGTAAACCAGTCAATGAAGAACTATGGCAGAGAAGAGCGAAATTAAGATAACTGTCTTATATCGCTGACCTTAGATGTTGTCAAAATAGACATTGCACTCAGTCTTATTCAGAAAAGCTAGGTACAGTGCTGTCGAGAGAGATGAGACGCTGACCCAGACAGATAAAGCCAAACTGCGCCTGAGATGCACGTGTGGGAAAAATCGAGTCGTAGATAGATTTATACATACCCACTCAAGAAGGAGAAACTCAAGTATCGAGAGGCCCCGTCCGGAGAGGACCAAGGGACTCACACATACTAACCAGCCGACGGCAATTAACGCTGAACAATATATAATGTTTTTCATATGAGATCTAATTATTGTTCTCATTATTCGGTAGAGGAGGGGTCATATTACATAAAGTGGTATTTAAAAGTACAGAGAAGTAGCCACACATAAAAAGTTCGGCATAGAGAAATATAGAAATGAGGGATTTTTTTACAAAACGTTCACCCAATACATAGCCCAAGCTCCAGTCAATAAGAGAGGTTAACTAGCGAGACTGTTGCATGGACGTAAAACGAGAAATTAATTACAAATTCTGACGATACGTAAGATAATGGTTGACTCTAGACTTAAAGAGGCTAAGATTGTAATGATTAGGAAAGCACCCTCTCTGGAGCCTGTTCCATAATATAGCGGTCCATAGGAAAAATTGTCTCAGTGGAAATTCTTTCTTGCCAATGGATCGCGAAGGGAATAAAGGTGACTTGACTTTGTGTACAGGTTATGGCGTGTCCTTGCTTTAAATGTCCGAACTAGTGGAAATAATAAATATAGCTCGCGTGAACATTACTCACAAAGAATCCTATAGAATGGTGACAGGCTTGCAAGGTTTCATTTAAGGAGAAGTAACTGTAGCTATGAAAATAATTCATAGCTCACAAAGTTGCTTTTTATTGATTGCAGGTTGAAAATATTTTTAGACTAAAATTTTTTAGGAGACAATAATTTACTGATATAAGTTTTAGTAATTAACCCATGAATGGCGGAAAAGAGGTGGATTCATACCTTTTCCAATGGTATTTGCGCGTAAATGAATATAAAGAAAAACCTAACTGGAATTGGAACTCGGCTCTCCGATTTCCAATTAATAACAGTTGTGCATTACACCATACGCACATCCAAGCTTACAGGACCTGGTATTCTCAAATGGTCACCCATATAGGTATTGAACAGGCTCGACGTTGCTTAACATCGGTGATCTTCCGAGAACCGATGTTTCAACATGATATGACCGGAAGTCCACAATATTTCGGAAATACTTTTGAACTCTGTTAAGCTTGAAATGAAATGTTTTGACCGTTCTGTTCTATAAATGGTAACAATGCTACATTTTTACTCTGAACCGACTCATCGAAATAGATCGTGGTAGAAGGGACCAATTAATTTCTGGAACGGTACAAGGATCTGACCACATTTCAAGACCATTTGCGATGGATCGAATATACGAACTCAAGTTGAGGTGGAACTGAGTTGCAGAAGACGCTCAAACAAAGAACCTCATTGTGAGAAAAAACGTTAATACTGACTGGATAATGTTCAGTGTCTGTTCGTTGATGATAGAAAACTTGATATTAGATTTATTAAACATTGCATGTTATTTACCCCACAATCAAGGAAAAAGAAAAAAAACAGCAGCTTAATACTAACTCTGAGCAGAAAGGCAGCATTAAAATGACACGTAGTTTAATTTTTCCGAAGTGCAAGGGTTAAAGAGCTATCTACGTCGTTCTGCGTATGACAATAAACTACATCAGCGTCCTGGGTATGACGATAAACTACATCCGCGTCCTGGGTAAGACGATAAACTATATCCGCGTCCTGGATATGGCGATAAACTACATCCGCGTCCTGGGTAAGACGATAAACTACATCCGTGTCCTGGGTAAGACGATAAACTATATCGCGTCCTGGATATGACGATAAACTACACCCGCGTCCTGGGTAGACGATAAAATATATCCGCGTCCTGGACAAGATGATAAATTACATATGCGTCCTGAGTAAGACGATAGACTACACCCAACAGCAATGCCTCTGATCAGGAGTTTTTGAGAAGCATGGAACCATCTCTTAATTTATGGTGTTTCCAGGTCCACCTTGACCCGGGCTGGTTGCACCTGTTTGGGCTCCCAGGTGTGGGGAAATAGTTAACACCAAACTAGGGTCAAAACACTATGAAAGTGTAAACATAGTTTTTAATACCAGAAATATTTCAGGTAAAATGTTATTACCAGCAATGAATTTTTGAGGAAAAAAATATTACTAGCAATACATTTTTACCAGCAATAAATTATTGAAGAAAAATAATATTACCAGCAATACCTTTTTGAAGGGAAAAATATTAGCAGCAATAAAAATCTTGTCAGCATTAAATAACCCATTGAGATTGATATGACATAAAACAAAACAAAACAAACCAATATATACTGACATAGATAGATAGATAGATAGATAGATAGATAGATAGATAACCAGCAATAAAAATCTTGTCGGCATTAAATAACCCATTGAGGATGATATGCCGTAAAACGAGCCAAACCAATATAAACTGAGATAGATAGATAGATAGATAGATAGATAGATAGATAGATAGATAGATAGAAAAAATATAACCAGCAATAAAAATCTTGTCGGCATTAAATAACCCATCAAGGTTGATATGCCATAACACAAATCAAACGAAACCAATATATACTGACATATATATATATATATATATATATATATATATATATATATATATATATAGATAGATAGATAGATAGATAGAAAATATAACCAGCAATCAAAATCTTGTCGGTATTAAATAACCCATTGACGATGATATGCAATAAAACAAACCAAAGCTATCTTCGTAAATCTTTAACTTATACCTTCGCTTAACGCTTATCTATCTTTTCCAGATTGGATGTGTGGGTTTAACTTTTAAGTGTCAGCTAGGAAACTAGCAAACACATTATTTCTATTCTAAATATCACGATCCACCGTGAGTTCTCATCATTATCCTTCTTAATTCCCTGGGTAACATGGGGCCGCAAAAATACCTCTCCAACGGATGCGGTTCCAGGCGATTCTCTTCAGATCGGCCCCTTGTCCTGCCGGCGGCCTTTCCGGGGGATTTTCACCAGAACGCGACATACGCTCCATGTCGTTGTTGGAAGATATCGTTAAGGTTTCTGTAACAAGCTATTTTTTTTTAACCTGGAGGACCAGAATGTGTCTTTCGACTGGCTCCTCAGACCTGTTGAGCTTGGTTGGACCTGCTAAGAGCCGAGGCCTCCACCCACATAGCTCTGGGAGTCGTTGAAGCTCGCAACCCTACCACGTTAAGCCGACACACCTTGAGGACGGCACAGTGAGCTCTACACATATTTTTGTTCTCGAATAAGCTAAGCTTATTAAATATATACGAGTGGCTGTCCTTAGAGCATTAATGAGCAAGGAGAATGTAGATCACTTGCCTTATCTTGGTAGGCATGTATCTTCTTGCATTGACATTCAAGATGAAATACAGAACCGCATCAAATGTGAAGGAGATTCCAAATCTCTTGTATGCCACTGAAATCTGGACAACTTATGGACATCTGAAATTCCTTGAGATATTTCGTCAGAGTTGCTTTCGAAGCATCTTGGACATTAGTTTGGAAGATAGAAGAGCCAACGTCAGGGGACTGGAACAAGTAAAAATGGCCAGCATTGAAACCATCATTACAAATCTTTTACACACAACTCAAAGGAGGAAATCAGAAAAGAGGAGGTCAAAAGAAAAGGACGCTCTAAACATAAAAAAAATGAAGAAATGTAACATCGACATCAACAGCTGGCAATCCAATGAAATGAATAAGAAAATCTAGAGATCTATTGTCAGAGACGGAACAACAATCTTCGAATTCAAACAATCAGCCAAACTAGATGAAAAAACAAAGACGTCGAAAAGAAAGCCAACAATCAAGGCGTTGTCTACTATATGTAATTAGCTGTTCTCAATGTCGAAGGACTTTTCAAGCGAGAATCGGTCTCATAACAATCTGAGAGTCCACAAACCCAGCTGAATGCATCAAACAACACAAGATCATCATTGTCGATCACGTGGGATAGGCACGGCGAGACAAGTCATCGATTATTATTGTACAGAGTTTGATATTTACCGGATTCACTGCGTAGTCTTGTGTCAGACTATGTTGAATTTATAATGGCGTGCCCATTCATAGAAATTTATTAATTAAAGCATCATAAATATCTAAGAAAACCTCACTACACTTTAATAGTCAAGCAAAGGATATATCTTCTTGGCAGATTCTTTTTGGGGGCCACATATTTGAGGCTCTGCAACAGAGTGAGCCAAGTATTTCTGTTGAACTACTGAGACGTGTAGTTACCATTATGTACATTATTTATTCATGTCCTTATTTCTGTTTTTATTCTTACAATGCTTCAGCAGTTGCGCCCTTCTGTTAATCTGAGTAACATTCAGCGAATTTTGAACCATTCATTTAATCTATCATGGTAGATTGTTCTCGTACCGCAGACTCAACGGAAACAGGACTTGCAATAAGTGAGCAAAGTTAAAAAGAACAGGACAATATATCTTTTTCTTGTATTACACACGTAAGATGGAGTCCTCTTGTCTCTTCATATATTTCTATTTCAACGTTGCTTCATCCAACTGCCCCTACTAAAGCGAGCTAAGTATTCTTCAGTCGAATATTCTTTTTCATCGTTAGCTCTTACAAAAAGAGGGAAAATAGAGAAATTAAGAAAAGCCCAGAAAAATTAAGAACAGTTATATGGAATAAAACCAAAGAGAATAGAAAACAAATGTACAATAAATGGAGGAATGATGACAACGAAAATGGTGGAGAAAAATTGCAAAGAGAAAAGAAAATTAAAAAAAAGAGACTTCGAAGGAGATAAATGAATACAAGTTATTAAAGAGAGAAAAACAAAAAGACGTAGGTGGATGGAGTAAAAGAAAAATGGAATGAATAAAAGAAAGAAAGAAAGAAAGAAGGAAAGAAGGAAAGAAAGAAAGAAAGAAAGAATACAATTGGTAATTCTGTAAGAAGTTAGAGAAGAGGAAAAGGCAGATGAAGGCGAAAAATATTTGAAAAATATCTTAATAAAAGAGTAAAGGAAAGAAGAAAGAATTGAAAATAGCCACGAATTTAAATGAAAGATTTATATAAAAAACGGTAGTTAAAAGAAAGAATGAAAATGAAAGATAGAAACTAATTTAAAATAACTATGAAAGATTCAAGTAAAAATTTATATAGAAAGAGATTAAAAGAAAGAAAAAAGAAGGAAAGAATTTAAAATAACTATGAAAAGTTAATGTAAAGATTTATATAAAAGAGTGGATAAAAGAAAGAAAAAAGAAAGAAAGAACGCAAGAAATAAAAAGAAAGAACGAAAGAATTTAAAATAGCTATGAATGATTAATGTAAAATAAACTATAAAAGAATGGATAAAAGAAAGAAAGAGAGAATTTCAAAGAAATATGAATGATCAATGTAAAGATTTATATGAAAACATCACTTTAAAAAAAGAGAATTTTAAATAGCTATGAAACGTTGACGATTTATATGAAGAAGGAAGGAAAAGTATAAAGCGAATAGAATCAGGTATATCACGTGAAAAAAAAAGACAGAAAGAAATGGAAAGATCTAAACAGATGTTAAGTAAAAAGAAAAAAAAGAAAGAAAGAAAGAAAGAAAGAATGGAAGAAAGAAACGAAACGATTGAAAATAGCATGGAAAAATAAATATTTCTATAAAAATATCTGTTGAAAGAAAGAAACCAAAAAGAAAAAAAGAAGCCAACCAAAAAAGTACAATGATAAAAAAGAAAGAATGCAGAGAGTGAGAGAGAGAGAGAGTGAGAGAGAGAGAGAGAGAGAGGGTGATTGAGAGAGAGTGAGAGAGAGAGTGAGAAAGAGAGAGTGAGAGAGAGTAAGAGAGAGAGTGAGAGAGAGAGAGTGAGAGAGGCCCCCAAATGTAAGGATAAAATCAAAGATAGAAACAAAGAAAAATACATTTGAAAGGGAGAAGATCTAAAAATAAAAAAAACGGTTACGAAATAAACATTAAAAGAAAGCTGACAAAAGATTAAAAAAAAGACACGTAGCAATAAACCAAGAAAGAAAAGAAAAGCCAAAGTTAATAAAGGGAGATTATAATATTAAAGCTGTCCAGAAAAGACACAAAAACGAAACAATGTAAAACAAAGAATAAAGTGATTGTAATATCCAATGTCGGATGCCGGTTTCTGGCCATGGCACAAGGTAGGAGGCGCGATACGAAATAACTTGAATGGATTTATTCGATTTGTTTCTTTTCTACGACGTATTAATCTTTTGCAGGTTATTTAGAGCCAGAAAATACTTTCAGATTAAGATTTGTTTGTTTTTTGTTTTTTTCAGATAATAATGAATATGAACAAAAACATGGCGATGTGAAAAAATGCATCTTGGGATTCACAACAAATTGTGATTTGTTTTTCAATTAAGAAACGAGTTTTTTTTTAGCAGCTGCTGAACAGTTTTCCGTACCCAAATCAACAGCCGAATATATCAAGGAAAATATCGTAAGAGAAAAATCATTGCAACCCCTCCAGGAAGGGGCCGTAAGATAAACTCTCTTGAAATAAATAAAAATAAATAAAGTCGCAAGGGAGACACGGTGGAGTAATGGATAGCGGTTCGGACTGAGGAATCGGAGAGCCGAGTTCGAATTCCCATTTACTTGGGAAAGGTATGAATCCTCTTCTTCTCACTCCTGCTATGGGTAAAATAGATGGCAAGTGTTCTACTGCAGAAATGGCAACCTACTGCGGGAAAAATCTGCCTCGTCAGTTATGTATCGAAAGGTATATGATCGCCTAAGCGTGTATCACACATGGCACATAACTGACTGACTGACCTAAAGTTGGGCTGAAAGAAAATGATTCTGATTTGTCAAACAATGAAGTAAATGTGTCATGTCATACAGCAAGCAGGGTATTCAATAATTTCGTTTTTCTCCGTTACCACATCCAGGAAAAAAAAACATTTGAGCTCCATTTGCGGAAAACACGATTGGAATTTGCGTGTGCCTACTTGGAAAAGGTCATTCTTGGACTTCAGTATTATAGAATAATGAGGCTAGAACTGAACTGTTTGACTGTAATCAGTCACAGTGAGTTTGGATTGATCCATTGTTTTTACGGTTTATCTACATTTTTAAGGTTATTTAAAACCGGAAAATATTTTTTATTTTTTTTTATTTTTATTTTTTTATTTTTTTAGATAATGATTTACTGATACAAGTCCTTCTAATTAATCCATAGCTGGGAGAAGCAGAAGCAGATACATACCATTTCCCAAAGGGTATTTGTGCGTAATATAACAAATCCGACTGGAATTGAAACTCGGCTCTCATACTGACAATTTCAACTCATTATCCATTAAATAGCATGAACATCCAACCTTATAGCAACCGGTATTCTCAAGGGTTCAGCCCTTTAGGAAGTGGCCAGACTTGACGTTATTTAACTTCGACGAAGGAAACATCTCACGCACATCTGACCTTATAGCAACCAGTATTCTTAAGGGTTCAGCCCTCCAGGTAGTAGCCACACTTGACGTTTCTTATCTTCGACGAGGGAAACATCGCACGCACATCCAACCTTGTCTTGCTAGATTACTTACAACTGAATAATGATTTCGATCCTCACTGGGTGTCCCATATTTTCGCCCTTGTGTCACGTCTAAGTTACGCTTAGAAAAGAATCACATGGCACACCGACGTGATTTAATGTGCTATCAAGCTTGTCCCTCTAGATCAATTACGACTGAACAGTGAGTTTGATTCTCACTGGGTGTCCCATTCGTTTGCTTAGAAAAGCAGTGTGTTTCACACGGCGCGATTTTCAATGTTATTTTTATGCGTATTTAAAAGTTCTTTTAATATTAGAGCGCTCACATGTACATAATAATAGCAATGTACTAATCCTATATATATATATATATATATGTGTGTGTGTGTGTGTGTGTGTGTGTATGTATGTGCGCGTGTCTGTGTCTGTGTCTTTGTGTGTGTGTGTGTATGTGTGTGTGGGTGTCTGTGATTTGGCATTAATTCTCTTGAGAAAAATATGAATCCAATGTTACTTGAGACTCTTTCCCCTCGTCAGTCATTCTTTTTGCTATGTTGATATCAACATCTCCTGTTTGAAATATAGTTTGCAATCAAGCCGCGGATAATTCCTTACTATTTGGCTTATCCTATCGGGTAATACATTACGCAAAAAACTGCTTCCTTTCTACTGGTTTTCAAGGTTCTATCTGTATCTTCCGACGTTATGTGGTCTTATCGATCATAATCTTCACTCTCTTATTAAGGCCTTCCGTAACTTTCCTTTATTTTTATATTCATCTCCGCCATATTTTTTTCATTTGATCTTCGGTAAGAAATGTAGCAAGGCTTTGTTAGTAAACGAGAAGCTTATAAATCAAACGTTCTGTTTGTCTGATTTGTATCGCTGTTATCCTGAAATTGTCGTCCATTTCGATTCTTTTTTATTATTATCATCACTTCCTGTGGCTTTTTGATTTCTACCGAAAAAAGAATGGCTGCCATCTTCTTTCTTAACCTTTCGTTATTTGGTTCAAGTGCAAACTGCATTTTTGCTTGAAAGATACAAAATTGATGGCTAGGTTCGAAAATGCAGTAAATGCACTCCAAATCTCAACGAGTGACTTCAAGAGACAACAATTTCTTTTGTATCAGATGTTGCAAACAAATGAGGTGCCTTGCAGTAATGCAGAAAAAAAGATTTAATCTTGGTCATTGCATAGAAAGAAATATGTCCATGGTGTTAAAAGAACCTACAGCTATGATTTTTGCAAGTAACATTTTCATTTCATATTTCATTAAGTCTACAAGGTATTTCTCCAACATTTTTGCTTGCTTCTTTAGATATCATTCCTAAAGCCCTAACAACAATAGGAAATCTTGTCTACTGATTTCTATCTAGTGTACACAGTTTCTTCTTCTTCTTCTTCTTCTTCTTCTTCTTCTTCTTCTTCTTCTTATTATTATTATTATATTAACTTTGTTTTCTGTGTATACACATTTCGTTCCGGGTCCCGCCCAGGGACCTAAGGTTAGAAATGGCATCATGACATTTTCCACTGGCCAATTAAAAAACACACACGCATATTTTACATAGATAAAATCATTCGTAAAATGTCGGCTGTACTCATGAGAAAATTTTTGTGTATTTATTTAAGGCATGGGCTTCCAGGAATCCCTTCAATGAGTCTACTGGAATCAATCCGAGGGCTTCAACTACAACGTCAGTTGTTTCAGGATATTTATTACAAAATCTGCATTTTGGGCTAACACAATTTTTCAGTATGTGTGCTTGATAATTTCTAGTTAGGAAGCATTGGTGCTAAGCAGCACGAATCAAACCTTCGATTTCAACTTTTTTACTCTGTACTACGTAGCCACTGATGGGCACGGAATTTGTCTACATCAGGTTGTTTCGTGCGGTCAGAGTATTGACCGTGAAGCGGTTTATCTTACGATTGTCTCTGTATTTTGTCGGTTGCCTTTGCCTTTGCTTTGTTTTTTAAGTATTTTCCAGCTTCAGTCGATGTATTGTGCTTTACTTGTATTTCTTCACATATTTGTTGTAGTTTTGTAAGACAGTTCTAGTTGAACTAATCCTCTGCCTCCTTCGGATCTGGGCACATACTGTACTACTACTGTACTGTACTGATGCGGCATTCACCCTGGGCGGATTGAGCCGGCTTCTTCCTGTTATGAGAAGAAGATTCTTGGGATAAATTACAGAAGTAGGGTACCCATGCCTACTCGGATAACGGTCTTGCTTGCCGCGGGGTTCCCACAGACGCAGAGACAGGAACGACCAGAAGCCGCCGGTTACCGATGCAGACGCTCCTTGGATTTTCACCAGAGCCCTTGTTAGCCGGCGTGTGTGTCAGACCTGTCCGCCTTGGGTGGCCCTACCAGGAACGAAGTTCCGGGCGGCTTAGCTCTGACACTACCGTTTACACCCCCCACCGACTGTGAGGTATGGGTTGGACTGGGCACATACAGATGAACAACATCAGTTTTGGGATGATGAATGCAGAGGCTAGAAAAGATCTTATTTTGGCATTCATTCACTGTCAGTAATGACAGCTATGTTTCAGTTAAGGATGCTGAAACTATTGCACCAAAATGACAGCCAAGGTGTTTATAGCTGATATTCTGTTATTTGAATTCAGTTCAGTATTTACTACCAGACGCACACGTATGTATTATTCCTTCTTAACTTCTTCATTTGGATATGCCGTATTCCATCTCTTTCCCTAATTCCGAGGCTTATTATTATTCCAGTTCCCTAATCTTTGTGACAAAATCAAAATCTATTGAGTGTGTTTCTGTAATTTTTCCTTTCTTGAAAGATACTTTTGCAATTATTCTTCAACTCATTGTCGTCTTTGGCAAAGGGTTTGAGATCATCCATGTATAGTAGGTGATTGAGAACTTTCTTGTTTAATTTGTAACCATAGCTATTATTTTTAGTTCATGCGAAAGTGGGGAGTAAGGATAAACAAAACAGAAAAGGTAAGAGACGGTCTCCTTGAAAGATTCCTCGTCGGATATTCAGGCAGTTGGAGATGACATTGCCTCTTGTGTGATTTAGGTATAAAGTGATGTTCCACATTCCATGGAGTGTTTAAGGAAATTTACTATGACGAGAGACTTTGTACATTTTAAGAGTCTTAAGGGCCAAGAGTGTGGCAATCTATCAAAGGCTTTAAGATAATCAATCCATGCTGATAAGATTTTCCAGGATCGTATTGTTTAGAATTAGCTGATCTCTCCTGTATACCTTCTGTTCCAGTGGAAGAATGTTGTTTACTTCGAGAAAATTGTATGTACGATTTTTCAAGTCAGACATGACCAATTTATACGTTATGGATGGACATGTTATTGGCCTATAATTTTTGTGTCATCTGTTTCATTCGTTTTTGGTAAGAG